AAAACCTGAGAATTATTTGTTATGTTGCAGAGATTCATCACCCTATTAAGGAAAGAATAAAGTTTCTTCCATTGTAAGTTAAAAAAAGTGATGGCAATGGCCCAAAAAATTTCAAAATTTGGGGTGGGGTCAGGAAAATAATATACATTTTTAATTCTTCCTCATTTTAGTTTAATGTCCTCTGGTTTTATTTCTTCAGCGACTCCAAAATGCATTTGTTTCAAAGCCTAAGTCCTAATTAAAAAGCTCTGTGCCCTGAAATAAGAGATGGCATGTGTGAATGTCCTAAATAAAGAAAAATAAATAAATAAATAAAAGGCCTGTTAAATTTTATCCATAATGTCCACAAATGAGGAAGCATCCCCCTTTTCCTTTTTGACCTATGGATATCATTAATATGGACTGTTCCAGCACAATGAACTGGAAAGAATGGTAATATTTTTAATTTCCTCTCCTGGGGAGAAATAGATGCTTTTCCACAGTAATGTTCACATGGGTGATACACTGACTTCTGGCCTTTATCTTGGATTTTGTGAGGATCTCAGAATACATTCTCATTATTTGGGAAAACAATATAAATGCTACAAATTCTAATGAGTTTTCCAGAGGAGGCACATGTAAGTTCTTCCTGAGTGACCTGGGGCTGAAAACAGCTCAAAATTCCCGCAGTCAGCTTGGCCAGCCTTGGTTATAAAGTCAGTAAAATGATGATTTTGCAGTAGGTTACAGGTGTAATTCAGCTTTGTCAGTTTAGGCTGACACTTGATTTGTACTTTTTGCTGATGCAGGAATACAGACAAAGGGAAGGGGAGAAGAAAGGTTTTGGAGTTTCGTTTTGCTACCAGACAGGAAATACAATGATGTGGCATGAGAAGAGCATGCACTTGTGTAAGGCTCTCCTGGAGCAAATGTCATTGTTCCCCAGGAAAAGAACTGGAAGAAAAAAGCTTTATTTGGAGAATGAAGATTTAGGGTTAGATATTAGGAAAGCTGTTCCACTCTAAGAGTGGAAGAAGACTTTTTCCAAGAACCTGATAAAAAAATAATGCATCAGTATGACTGTGACATCTTCAAGAAGCAGTTGAGGCTTGCGTGGGGAACTTCATGGATCTGACATGACCCACATCAAGTTTCAAGACAGGTCCTGGCTACAGGGGATCACTCTCCCATGTTTCTGTGTTGATCTTGCTCCTGTGTTTCTGTGCTGATCTCTCTCCCATGTTTCTGTATTGATCTCTCTGCCATGTTTCTGTGTTGATCTTTCTGCCATGTTTCTGTGTTGGGGCATGGCCTGGGAAGGCCCTGGAAAGTCCTCATTGGGCTGAAAGGCTGAGTCAAATATCCACTGAGATGACTTCTTTCCACTCAGGGGCAAGAGGAGTCTGATCAGCATCTGGGAAAGCCTCTTGATGTCCATTGTCCATCCATCCATCCATCCATCCATCCATCATCCATCCGTCCATCCATCCATCCATCCATCCATCATCCATCCATCCATCCATCCATCCATCCATCCATCATACATCCGTCCATCCATCCATCCATCCATCCATCCATCCATCCATCCATCATCCAGCCATCATCCATCCATCCATCCATCCATCCATCCATCCACCATCCATCATCCATCCATCCACCATCCATCCATCCATCCATCCAAGCATCCATCCATCCATCCATCCATCCATCCATCCATCCATCCATCATCCACCCATCATCCATCCATCATCCATCCATCATCCCTCCATCCATCATCCATCCATCCATCCATCCATCATCCATCCGTCCATCCATCCATCCAACATCCATCCATCCATCCATCCATCCATCCATCCATCATCCATCCATCCATCCATCCATCATCCATCCATCCATCCATCATCCGTCATCCATCCATCATCCATCCATCCATCCATCATCCATCCATCATCCATCCATCCATCATCCGTCATCCATCCATCATCCATCCATCATCCATCCATCCATCCGTCATCCATCCATCCATCCATCCATCCATCATCCATCCATCCATCCATCCATCCATCCATCCATCCATCCATCCATCCATCCATCCATCCATCATCCATCCATCCATCATCCATCCATCCATCCATCCATCCATCCATCCATCCATCCATCCATCCATCATCCACCCAGCCATCCCCCTGGCCCCCAGCCCTCTGAGCAGCACCGAGCACTTCCCGTCGCCGAGGCACAAAGCTCGGGAGCTCCAACACGCGCTCGCAGGAGGGGGCCCGGCTGCAGCATAAATGATCAAAGGGCAGAGCAGGCTGATGTGCGGAGAGACGCTGTGATACAGCAGCAGAGATCCCCTCCAGCCCTCGCCAATGCTAATGCATATATTTACCTCCTGATTGACTTCATAATTAATTGACTACACGGGGAGGATCCTTCTCTCACCTCCCCGGCTCTGAAGAAGCCAAGTGGTACGGGTGTAAAACGGGGCCACGAGAGGGATGAATGAGGCCTTTTGTCTTTATTTTCTCTGCAAGTGCATAGAAGCCATAAGGAGCCTGTAAGGATATAAATGAGGGCAAAATTGTGTTTCTTTCAATCCCCAAACTGCAGCAGGAGAGTCAGCAGAGACAAGGGTTGAGGCAGTGGTTATAAAGTAGAAAGGTTTGTATTTTGGCTCGAAGGTGGTTATATTTAAGAAAAAAGGTAGAAAAGTAAGGGAAATTAATACTTCCATCCCAACCCGAAGAAGGAGAAGAAGCATTTGTTATGCAAATCTTTTCATTATTGCAAATCCTGAGTGCTGATAAGAGATAAGCGTTGTTCTAGCTTTATTTCAAGTAGCTCCTGCCCAGACGCGGAGACGTGATTCTATTGCTGCAAAAGGAAGAAACAAACACACACATTTTCTCCCTGTACATTTATTTCTGTTACTGGAACACGGATTCTGGAACCTGCCTGAAAAGGCATTTGGTCCATTGAGGCTTGTTCATTTTACTGCTTTGTTTTCTGCTAAGGTGACATCTGCTCCTGAATGACCTTCGCATCTTTTCTCAGCGCAGCCTGGCCCGGGTGGCCGCTCCTTTATGCGCATACATTAACGTGCGGGTGAATCGCAGCTTCAGGAGGGCTGTTCTTTATCCTTTTCATTTTCTCTAATCCCGGAGTCTGCGGGGAACAAAGGGCTGGATCCTCACGGTGTAAACGGCCAGAGCCGGCTGCGGGGATTTACATCCGCTACGGCGTGACACCGGTTATCTCCCAAAGCCATTCCCCGCTTTACCACCTCCGCCATCATATTCCTTGTTCTTGGTAGAATTTATTGCTTTTTTCCCCCCTGTTTTTTGACTGTTGGGAGGCAGCTGTAAAATCTGCACAGGGAGCAGCAGCAGCAGCTCTCATCCCACTGCTGGGGCTTGGTGGTGGGGAAAGGTTGGTGCTAAACACATGGGATGCTGCTCCCCATCCCTGTGCCAAGATGCTCCATGTTTTTGAGGCCCCGGTGCAGGATATGCCCACATCTACTGCAGCCTCCCATGGAAATCAATGAGGTTTGCTCAGCCCTGCATTTAGCTGAGGCTCAGTCTTCTGTCTGCCTGGCTATTAAATTACTTTTCCACGTGACAGCAGAGCTTCCAAAGTTTGCAGCATGATTTCAGTCTCACATGCAGCTCTTCAAGCCATTTTCCCTCCTCACCCATTGTTTCACTGCTCTCTCCCCATTCAGCAGCTCGGTGTTACAACAGGAATATTCCACTTGCCCCATCTCCCTTTGTCTGGCACTGTTGTTTTTTTGCATCACCACCAAATGAAATCAATTTTAGAACTGATTTCTCTGCCCTGGCACTGGAATGACATGCCGACAGTTTCTGCTACAAATTCTCCTTGCTGTCCATAATAAGTTACTTAACCATTCCATTATTTCATGCTGGCTCCCGGTGGGTTTGAGCTGCACAAGGCATCTTTCTGATGAAATTGGCACCGGCTTTTAAAAAAATCCAAATCAATTATATCTCCTGGGCCTTGCTCAAGACTTTAAAAGAGGTTACTTAGGCAGGATCTTCATTTTTGCACATCTGGGTGGAAACTGCATAGGCATTTTTCCCCCTCTCATGTTGATTTTTTTTTTTTTTGGTATAAAATTGTTTATCATTGGTAGAGTCGGGAGCTCACTCCGGGAGGAAATTTGGCTGATATTTATGGCAAGGCTCCAGTAGCTTTAATGAATGAAATGTTGATCACTTGAACAACAGGATCAGCAATATGGCAGGGATGTGATAGCCCTTTTCTCCAGCCCTGGGTATGAAGTACCAGATAACACTGTTGTGTCAAAGGGCAGCTCTCAACAGAGGGGAACAGTCACGATCTGGGTGTCAGACCTGGTTTCTTCTCCCATCTCCAATGACAGCTGGAATTAGATGATCTCCAAGGTCCTTTCCAAACCTAACCACTCTCTGGCCTTCTCCCCAGGAAGACTGTCCCTGGAGCTAATCCAAGTCTTGTTCTATTCAGAGGGATATTGAAATCCAATATTACCTATCCTGGCAAGCTTTCTGGTAACAATTGGAAGCAATTAATCCTAATGAACTTTTTAATCACCAATTTCACTAGATTTCTCAATCTTCTCAAGCAAGTCTTACTTGATCTATTTTCTAAATGAACACTGAAATGTTCCTTTATGGAAAGGAAAAAAATCGACTCCCTCACTTCTTCGAGGTCATATCGTTATGCAAAAAACCCACATGTGCAGCACAACTTCCCACCTTTTTAAAAAATCAAACCTAAATCTGACTTCTTCTAAGTACCTAATGGGAGCTGCAATTTCTTGCTAATTATATAATTACTCCAGATTGTTATGTAGCACTGGCAATCAAACACTCGAAATACTTTTAGCTTGAAGAAAGTAATTACGTAATTCCAGTGAAGCCGCATTCATTGCTGCTCCCTTCTCCCTGTGGCTTCATGTCCGCAGCCAGCAGAGCTCAGACAAGCCTGGCACATCACTTTACAGCACCTGAAGGCCTGGCTGGGTATGAAGAAAGGGTTTAATGTGAAAAAAAAAATCTTATTGATACAAACAGAGTGAGATGGATGTGTATATAATATATGTATATATGTATTATATTCTAGATTTCAAAGCTTTTTTCTTTTTAGAGGCCAACAGGACCATGCTCATCCCAGCATGGCAGTCCCCCAGGAGACCTCCCTGTCACAGTGTCTGGTATAGTCCCAGTCCTGGGGCTTCCCAGTGGATATTTTCATGGGAAGAGCTTGCCCAGATCCAGTGACAGCTCAAGTGTAGCCTGATTGTTATTCACCAGCTCCTGCACACCTGGACCTACACCCTACAGCTTCACATGTCTGACCAACACAGAGAGAAAAATTCCCTTGTCCCCTGTCCCTCAAGGTAATGTCCCTTGACACTGAATGCTTTCAATTCAGGTGACAGCTCTGCCTCTGGGGTCTCCATGTTCCCTGCTCTCCATGACAAGACATTCAGGTGATGCTTTAGTCTTCAATCCTACACTGTAATTGCTTCCTTTTCACTGCAAGCTTCATGGAGAATGAAACTGTGTGTGTTTCAGTGAGATCTGTATGACATTTCAACATTTCACCGACTTTTTGCTTCAGACTTTAAGTAGGTTTTGAGAACAGTTACCAGGTTTTTTGTAAGGAGCAAGGGGAAAAATAAATAATGAGAACAAAAATAGTCAAACAACAGGCTGAATAATTGACAGAAAGCAAAAGGACTGGGATTTGATGCTATTCAGTTGAGAAGAACTCATTGATATCCACTGAATTAAACAAGAACCTCCTGCTGCATTGCTTATGTTATGGTTACCATGATTCAAACACCAGAAGTCATAATGGATTTTATTTCTGTTTCTATTTATGTCCCACGGACCCAATGACTCCTCCTTCTTGCTTGGTTTTGTTTTGGTTATTTTTCATTGTTGTTGCAGTTTAGCTTTTTCTTCCTCAGGACTAAGGCCTGAGAGCAGACCCTCTCTTTATGGCATCACAGAAGGGTTGGCGTTGACAGAGATTTCTAGAGACCACCCAGTGCCACCCCCCTGCAAGAGCAGGGTCACTGGAGAAGGTCACACAGGGTCTCATTTAGGTGCCTGTGGAATATCTCCAGAGCAGGAGACTCCAGAACCTCCCTGGGAAGACTGTTCCAGTGCTTCATCACCCTCAGAGTAAGTTTTCCCCCATATTCAGATAGAACTTCCAAACATTTTGGTTTGTGTCCATTGCCCCTTCCACTGTTCCAGGGCACCACTAAAGGAGCCTGACTCCATCCTCTCGAGAGCTGCCCTTAAGTTATTTGTGTGCATTGATAAGAACCCCTCAATCCTCTCTCCCTGAGGCAGAACAGTTTCAGCTCCCTCACACTTTGTGAGATGCTCCATCCCAGCATCCCAGAATTGTTTGGGTGGGAAGGGACCTAAAAGCCATCTCATTCCAGCTCCCTGGCACAGGCAGGGACACCTCCCATGAAACCACAGATGAGATACTGGGAAGAAATTCTTCCCTGTGAGGGTGGTGAGGCACAGGTTTCCCAGAGAAGCACTGGCTGCCCCTGGATTACTGGAAGTGTCCAAGTCTAGGCTGGACAGAGCTTGGAACAACCTGGGATACTGGTCTACTTTAGCCCTCACTTTGCTGGAAAGCATTTTCTTCTAACTCAGAGCGCAAATTGACCTGGAAAAAATATCTCTGTTGGAGATGATCAGAGATGATCTGTTTTGACTTGGCAGAAAAAGCACCATATATTTATATATATAACCCCTTCCATTTTCCTTGCTCCTCCTAAGCTGGGGACAGTCCTCTGTTTAGTCATTTCTGGGGCTGAAACCAGTATGGAATGCTAAATGGATTAATTATTACTACATCACTCTAAATTTAGACAGCTTCCTTTCAGAATTAGATTTCTTCAGGTTTATGCCATTACATTTCTTAAATGTACATTCTCAATCACATTAGCAATTATGAATACATTACATTTATTTTTGTTCTGAAATATTTTACTGTTGTACCTTTAGGATATGAAATACACACAGTGTCCTACCCAGGCAGAAATGTGAGGTCACTACTGCCCATGATTTCATTGCACATCTCACAATTTTAAGGATAATCCTGGGACATTTTCCCAAGAACTATCAATTATTTCCTGGTGTGAGAAAACCAACTTTCATTTCTGAAAGAACTTTTTATCTTCTGCACTTGCAGAGATATTGCAGGAGTCTGTCCCCATGGAGGGCAGTGCTGGAACAAGATCTTAAAGGTCTCTCCCAACACAAACTGCTCTAGGATTCTAGGAGTCTTGAAAAACATGGAGCATTTGCAAAAACCAGGAAGTGAATAAAAGCATTTGACATTCAAACAAAAACTCCTGTATGTTCTGGCTCCCATGCCAAAGGGTTGGTTGCCCTGGGGAGGGGCCTCAGGGCAGTCCCCCTCCAGGGCTGCCTGCACTGCTGGCAGTCACTCAGGCTGGGGATGTCTTCATGCATTTTGGGGCTTGATGGCTCTGCTTTGGGGCTCAGTGACACTTCTGCACCTCTTGGCTGCCATTTCCTGGGGCCCTCTGCACTCTCCTCCCACTCCATGCAGACTCAAACAGGTTGTGGATGAAATTGTTATAATGGAAAAGCAGAACACTGAACAACATCTTCTACATCTTCATCTACAGCTACATCTTCATCTACATCTTCATCTACAGCATCAAAACCAGCCTTCCTCCATCCCCAAACAATGTGAGCCCTCAAAAGGCCTAATCCTCTATTTCTGCTCCAGCTCTGCCTGTGGGAGCCCTGTGCTTGCTGTCAGCCCTGGGCAGAGAGCTCTTCCTCTTCTTCCCTCACCTCTCCCGCCTGATGCCATGTGTGGACACGCTGCCCTGGGGTGGTGGCAGCTCTGTCCCTGCAGGCTGCTGTGGCTGCTGATGTTTCCTGCCAGTGGTCCTGCCATGCTCTGTGCTCAGGATGACTTTGGAGCTCTGTTCAGCCAGGGGCACCTTCCCAGGCAGCCAGAGCTGGGTGCTTTTGTGCAAGGGCTGCTGCCCCTGGTGCCTGCAGTGTCCATGGCAATGGGGACACTTCTGGGATCCCCCAGGGCACAGGTGGCCCCCAGGGCCTGGCACAGGAGCTCTCAAAGGTCTGCCCTGGGCAGATGTGGCCACCCAGGGGTGCTGGCCATGTCCTGCTGAGCCCACGGGCCACAGCTGGCACGGGGGCACTGGGGGGGCTTGGCTGATCCTGTGGGAGGTCACAGCCCAGGCTGGGGGTCAGACACTGAGGGCACTGAGGAGGAGGAGGAGGGAGAGTGTCAGGGCAGGAAGGGCTGGGAATGTCCCCTCAGAGCATCCCTGGGCTGCTGCATTCAGGATCAGGCCCCACCTGTGCTGCAGGAGTGGAGGGGCTGCAGGAGCTGGGCTGTGGGGGAGCTCTGGCTGCCACAGCGGTGCCACAGAGCTGACAGGACCAGGGCCACTCAGGCTCAATGGCTGGGCAGCTCTCTTGACTGGACACAGGTCTGGACGCTGCTCTTGAAGCATCTCCAGGGCTGGAATGTTGGAGCTCCCATAGTTGTGTCACACAGCCAGGAATGCTGGGGCTCCCCTTGTCCTGCCCCACCCACAACAGCTCTGCCAGCTCCTGGTGGGGAGAGAAAGGCTGAAAACCACAGAGCTGGAATTACAGAATATCCTGAGATTTAAGGGGCCCACCAGGATTATTGATGCAACTCCTGGCCCTACACAACCACCCCAACCATCCCATCCCACCCCGTGCATCCCTGAGGGCATTGTCCAAATATTCCTGGAGGTCTGGCGGCCTTGGGGCTGTGCCCATTCCCTGGGGAGCCTGGCCAGTGCCTCCCCCTCTGGGGGAAGAACCTTCTCCTGATAGCCAACCTTATATCCCCAGGCACAGCTGAAAGTCTTGGTGAAAGAGGTATCTTGCTGCGGGGACACTGTGGATCTTGAAAACAGGACAGGCCTGGAGAAGGCCACTTCTACAAATGAAGAGAAAGCCACTTCTACTCAGCCTCCAGCAGTGCCATATCTTTATTTATGTGATTGTCTCATTGGGGCAGGGAGTGGGGAGATGTGAACCAGACCCTCAAAGGTATTTGGGTAAATCTCATGGATCTAGTGGTTAAATTAGATGTGCCATTCCTAAATCCAGTTAATGCGATTGGGCACTGAACCTGTAATGGCTCATGTTTTAGGCTTCCCCCATCAATCCCACTTCAGAAGTTCAATCTGGTAGGAAGGTTTTAACGAGTCAGGACTAGCACAATCCAGAGTATTGGAGGATGGTTTTATTTAATTAATTCTAGGAAAGGGTTTCTCTAGGAAGATGCTGGACACCAGGGATTTATGCCCTCCTTTCTCTGAAGAGTTTCAGCCCCCATCTCTCCAAAGAGCTTTGATCCCAGGATGGGGTGTAAGCACATTATTGTTCTTCACTGGAATCTTTTAAGCTTTACTTGGCAATTGAATATTAAATTAGAGAAAACATGGCCCTTTAGCCTGTAAGGGGAGGCCCAGGTGAGGCCTGTGGTGCTGGGTTGTAAGGCTGTGAGGGCAGAGAAATGGTCAGCACGTTCCCTGGCCTATTTTTGGTCTGTGCCAGCTAACACTGACCCAAAAATTCCCCCAGGCACAGCCATGGGTCAGGACTCATTCCCAGTGAATGGTGTGGACATGGCCAGCCTTGTTTTGGGGACAGGGAGCTCAGTTGTATCACTTGACCTCAGGGCAAAGAGCCATTCCCTGGCCTTTGTTCATCCCCATTTAGTTTTTCAGTGAGAAGGAAGGTGAGGGATTAATTGGTGGAGCAAGGGCTGGGTCACAGGGCTCTCCCAGCAGCTCCAGGAACATATGGCCCATTAGAGACCCATCTCAACAGCTTCAGCACAAGGAGTTAAAAGGGTTCCTTCCCTGAGAGGAAGAAACGTGAGGGCAAAGCTGCTTGTCCGTCCCATCAATTTACTGATTAGTTGTAACAGCACTGATTTGCTGAGTTTGAAAAGAAAAAAAGTGTTTATTTTGTTTTTTTTTTCATGACAGCAAAGTCTCCAGTACCTGGACTGTGAAATCTAAAAGTGGGTAGGCCCCTATATAAGATATGGAAAAAATAAATGCCCTTTTGATGCCACAGAAAAGGTGCAGAGACTGGTGCTGCACATCCCAGCCCTGCCCCAGTGCAGGGGGACACTGCACATCTCAGGAAACACAGCACACAGAGGTGCTGAGACAGCTCCTGCTCATGGCTTTATGGTTTTGGGACATGGCAAGCCTCCTTTGAAAATCTAGTCCTGGTCCTAGAAAAAAATTTAGTTCTGGTCCTAGAAAATTTACTCACAGATCTGTGGTCAGAGAAAATTATGGTCTGGCAAAGAAATGAGTTCCATTTGTGGGTCCCATCATATAAATGGGATGGGTGAGAGTACAAGTATCTATTTATACAAATATTTACACATCTTTTTATTTGACTCTATGTAAACACATCAACATAAGCTGATTTTGACACACACACACGCATACACACAAAAACATTGAAATTTTAAGGTCATTTCACAATAAAGAGTAAATAGGGAAATGTCTTTTCAAAGGATTAATTTTACCATAAAACTTGAGGACGCAGCAGCTCTGCTGTGGCTTCATCCAACTCATACCCACTTTGTGACTAGAGGTGGAAATGGAGTTCAACACCCTGCCAGAACTGCATGTATCACATGTTAAACACACCCACAACACCCCATTTTTTCCAGTCTTGCACTTGTTATTTTATATCTAGGGTGGTCTCACTGGTCAATCTTAGCAAGGGTAGAAACCTCATTTGCCACCTGAGATTTAATTTTCTGCCTCTTTCTTACATCATTAAGTGAGTCTTTGATGTTTTCTCTGCCTTCCTGCAGCTTTATCTTTGGCTGGATTGTACTACCTTGGGAACAGGAGTCTTGGAACAGAACAGCATCGATGCAGAGACTGGCAGTCAGGGAGAAGTCAATCTTGTTCTTCCTTTAATCATGTGGGCTTTCCCCTTTCCAATTCTTGGTGACTTTCCTCCTACAGGAAATGAGTAGGATCTTCTGGCTCTGACTATTATAACATTTTACCACATGTGTTCTCTTTTGTTCCTAATTTCTCTTCAAAAGCGACTGCCTGGGTTGCTTTTCCCATGTTAAACCTGGTGAAAAAAATAGATTTTTATTTCTCCTTTAGCAGCTTGTGACAGATCTTGAAACCTGTCCTCATTGTACAGTTCCCCATTGTAGTTTGTGTCTTTACTATTTCAGGCACTAATTAATTTTATTTATCCTCTCCACATCTCTTGCCTTTGCAAGGGCAAAAACACTGTGTATTTCATGGGTGTTCTACAGAATCACAGAGTGGCTTGGGTTGGAAGGGAGCTTAAAGATCATCCCATCCCATCCCCCCTGCCATGGGCAGGGACACCTTCCACTGTCCCAGGTTGCTCCAAGCTTCATCCAGCCTGGCCTGGGACATTTCCAGGGATCCAGGGGCAGCCCCAGCTTCTGTGGGCATTCTCTTGGGCCTGTAGAATTGGGACTACCCAAGAGAACACTTATCACCCTGAAACTACAGCCTTCTGATTGTATGGAGCATTGTTTATTTTTCCTATTACTTTTCCTTTTGATTGTTTAGAATGTTGTTAGCTTCTTTGTTCATTTTCTTTGCTTTTTCTTTTTTTAAAAACAAAAAGGGTGAGATGTCACCGTGAAAACTCAGTTTTTTGATCTTGCTGACATAGTTTCTAAAAACTTTCCCAGGACAGTGACTGTGAACATAGATATGTATACATTCTTTCTGATACATGTCTTTTGATGGACATCTCTCACAGACAGTGCGGTTGGGAAGGTGTTAACCTGATATCCAATCCCTGGCCGTGGTCAGAAACTTATAAATACTGAGAAAAGAAAATAAAGCTCTCTTTCTTTTACCACACCTCGAGCTGTGTCTGTGGGACTCATTTCGTGTCCAGCAGCAACAAACACTGGAGCAACGACACCAACCCCAGACATGGCTCCAGCACCCCCTGGGAGTTTCATCCTAAGATTTTCTGCCCACACAGATGTCTCTGTGGCATTAAATAGAAACCCACCCCAGATGAGGGCACATCTTGGTTGGAAAAGACCTTCAAGACCTCTGAGTCCAAGCTGTGACCCATCCTCACCTTGTCACCCAGACCAAAGCACTGAGTGCCATGTCCAGTCATTTCCAGTCAGTCCAGTCAGTTAACACCTCCAGGGATGGGGACTCCAAACCTCCCTGAGCAGCCCCTTCCAATTCCTGACCACCCTCTCCATGAAGAAATCCTTCCTCATCTCCAACCTGACCCTCCCCTGGCACAGCAAGAGGCCGTGTCCTCGTGTCCTGTCGCTCATCCGTACCACGGCACGCAGCATTATCCGCAGTGCTTTGCACGGTTCCATGGTTTTAGAGCTCATCATCTTCCAGCTGCTGGGAAGGGCACGTATCAGAGCCATAATCAAGGCAGAATTCTGCTTTCAATTACACCCCTTGCGACACGTTGAAATCAGCAGCGTCGCACAACCCCATCGGAATGCTCAAACGAGGAAACTGGAGAAAAAGAAAGTGAAGGGAATTTGGTAAAACTTTCCTGTTCTGCTGGAGGTTCAGACACTGAGTTCGGTTTTAAGAAACTTTTGCTGAGGGGAAAATTTGGCCTTTTTGCTCTCTTTTCTTGTCTTTTCTAATTAATTTTTTATCTTTTTGTTCCAAAGGACATGCTAGTTTAAAAAAAGAAAGACTGAATGTCAAAACTACTAAAAGCAAACTTTGAAAACCAAGGAATAATTCATTTAAAATCAGCATCAAACTCATGCCTCTCCCTCGTGTTCCTCCATAAACTCCTTCAAAAATTAGGTGTTTCAACAAGAGCAGTTAATTATACAGACATAATGTGGAGCAAGACATTTATAAAATCCCCAAATGGCTGATGGAATGATCAGAGCATCACAAAACATTTGCAATTAAACGGAGAAATATTCGGGATTTCTGTTTGTGCCTTGCACTGTTGGTGGTTATATTATAGTAGCATATAATAAAACAGTTGTGGAAGGGAAGAAACCCCCCTGGAAGACCAGGTGATGAGAAAATACATTGTGATCCCAGGATAACAAAAACCTGCACTGATTCTTAATCAGGATCAGGTGAATGAACCAATTCTCTGCTTCCCTGTTTCTCAATGAGTCAACTGCATCTTGTCAAATAACTGCTTAGCTCAAGCAAAGACAAAAACATCCAGTAATTATTTTTATATGCAAGAAACTTGGATTAGAATACAGGCATAAAATAACAGTGCTGCCCCACTTGAAAAGAATTTGTATTTTGCATGCAGAAATGTGTCTTTTCCTATGAAAAACACGTGTCCTGGGGAATATCTGAGAAAGATTTCTTGTTTGAGTATTTCTTGTTTGTTTGGTGGAGGATCCCACATATTCTCCATACTTGGTGTAGGAGTCCCATGCTAATGTCAGCACAGATAAAAAAATGTCTGAAATTTTCAGGAAAACTTCTGGGAGCCAGCAACCTTCTTGTTCCTACAGGTTTGCAAAGGAGTTGAAAGAATTTTGCGATATCCAATGGAGACACACAATTTGTATTCAGAACCGGCTTCTGAAGTGACAGCAAGATTTTTCCATCACAGATTTCCTCAATTAACCCCAAGACATGCAAATTGGCATTTTTACTAATATTCTCCAAGGTCTCAGGCTTGTGATGAGCAGAGTCTCTCATTAGCACACCTGCATGAGCTCTGCAGCAAGTACACACAGCTCCCAGCATCGGAATGTTTTCCAACTCCATTCCCAGATCATTAGCTCCACTCTCATCCACTCTCATGGGATGCAGAAGACAATGCCCAGATCCCAGCAGGGCCTCATGCTGCTCCAGACTGTGCAGATCGACGATGCCACTGGGGTTTGGTGGCAGTCCCCTCCAAAAAGTAGGGCTGAGGAAAGATTCAGTCCCCTAAAACATGAGCAAATGCACA